CACCTCTTTTTGGGGTGGGAGGGGGCGGGGTAAATGTTTTACAGTGATCACAAATGCATAACCACCTCTGCAAGAAAAAAAAAAAACAGAAGAAGAAGAATCAATAAATAATTATTTTAAAACAACCCCAGAACCCTGCTTTGCGTGATGTGTATTAAGTTATTGCTTTAGAGATTTAGGATCACGCCTGGTAAAGTGCATAATATAATAATACTGTTAAAATTTTCATAGAGCTAAACTGAACAACCCTGTGAAACAAGCAGCTCCATAGCCTACATCATGTACCCTAAGTCCTAAAACAAGCCTTAAATTTAACCCCTCACCCCTATCCCCAAAATGCAACTCAACCACACACCTCAGTCAGTTTTAGCCTTAGTAATAGTTTTACAGCAACTGTAACACAATAATAAAGTCATAAGGCCGAAGTTGAGAAGTGTTACAAGAGAGTAACAAACACAAACAAGAAGGAGAAGACAGAAGGACGATGAGAAAGAATGAGGAAACCACACCAGAGCACCCGCCAACCTACCACTATAACAGTCAGACTTCAGGCCTGTGATGCCTACGCCTTTACCCAACCAACTAAATGTAATCGCTTCCACATAATCGTTAATCTAATCATTAAAATGTCCCTGACCCAAATCTTAACCGGAACCTAAGTATTGAACATTCAAACTCGGTACTCTAAACCAAAACATGTAATCCATTTGACGGTAATACTAGAACCCCAAACATAAACCTTGGCATTAAAGAGAGGAAAAAGAACGAGAGAGAACGAGCGTTGAAGTAAGAGAGAGAGAGAGAGAGAGAGAGAGAGAGAGAGAGAGAGAGAGAGAGAGAAAGAGTTGGGGTAGAAAAACACTGCTCTAAGGAAATTGAATAAGACAGACAGAAATGTAATAACAGATATAGAAAAGAAAGAAAGAAAGAGAAATGTTGATAGAGATAACAACAAAGAGTGACAACATAGAGAGAGAGAGAGAGAGAGAGAGAGAGAGAGAGAGAGAGAGAGAGAAAGAGAGAGAGGGGGGATATAGACGGACAGACAAACAGACAGACAGACAGACAGACAGACAGACAGACAGACAGAATGACATAATATTATAGACGAGTAGGCGAAACAACACAGAGATTCTTGCAAAATTAATAAAGGCAAACAGAAACATGTTTTTGTCCTGTGAATCGTCTGTGGTGATACGATGTGACAGTGTTGTCAGAATGGCCATCTTAAGCAGCCCGTCGCTAATTAAGACAAGAATAGAAAGAATTCCTTTGTTTACAAAACTCAACACCAATCAAGACGCCTGAGTTGAATACTTCGTCTTTTTAAACTGCAAACTTGCTGATTGGCTGAGTTCTCCGAGGAAGAGACACCCCGCGGGGCATGCGCAGAGGAAGTTTTCACAAGGGGTCCAATCAATTCCTTCCGGAAAACTTGTACCGTTTGAGAATAATAAATGATCCTTTTCTACGTTCTTCCAAATAACGTATTTTGTTTATTGGTTCTTCATACCACCTTTAAAAACACCACTATATTAAAAAAAATATTCTGTAGGTTAAATCTATCCTTTGCTTTTGAGAAAACACTTTTCTTAACGTTGTCCACCAAAACAGACATGATCAGATGCCCTACAGTTGAAAATTGCACGTGTCAAAAAAAATATTAATATACATGTCTAACATTTTTGTTTTAAACATTAAGGAGTAAGTGGATAAAAGCTTGGATTCTAGCATTGAATTCTATTCTAAACGAAATGACGTATAACAATCATTATGAGTCATAACCTACTGGAAACAAACACTAATGAATTCTGCCACAAATTTCGAAGGATTGCTTCCCCGGAGTGCATAATGACCCCACACCACCACACCTGCCTCCTCTCCGCCATGCATTCCCACTCCCCCCCCCCTCCTCCTTATTACGCCCCTCCCCCCAAACCAACTCTCTAACCCAACCCCAACACACTGGGTAGGGCCTACAGTAAACACGTCTATGCCGTACAAGTCTCGACAACAACAAGGGGGGATGCTGGATGGTAACTTTGAAACAGGGGAACTTAACCAGAAACCACGAACATCCTGTAGCAGTCAGTTACCTCCCCTGGCAACATCCGGTAGAGCCAACAGGAAGTGGCCCGCACTGGACGCCTCTCCGTAGTAAAAGCCACATTTCCACGCCAGCGAGTTTTGTCGCGTTTTATGTCTGTTCTGGACTTGGCCTGTCTACAACCAAATGGCTTCGAGGGGCGGGGCGAGATGGACGCGTCCATTAAACCCCGGTATAGGTTAGGACCAACTGTCACAGCGATCTGACCCGCTTGTGGAGACGAGGGTTAGGGTGTAAAGACACGATAACATTAAAAACCAGTTTCTTGGTCCTTCCTTTTTTAAGATATACATACAGAATATTACCCAAAAAAATAACGTTACTGCCCGATCGTTGTCTCACTTTTTTGTTTACACCCATAAATTACTTGTATCTTTTATGACACTAGACTCGTTTTCATTTTGGTCATATTAACTGAACATTTTTTGAGTATCATAAACAAACCAAGTTGTGAATTTTTAAAGTTTTATTTAATTTTCAACTGTTCTACTTCTTTTCACCTTCAATCTTTCATTTCAATACCTTTCTCAATGGCTGTACGCAATCCATTCTCGCAATTCATCCAATTCGTCACGTGTTTATTTGTTTTTAAATTAATTATTTATTTATTTATTTATTTATTTATTTATTTATTTATTTTTTTTGGGGGGGGGGCAATCCCAGGCATCGATCCGTCGCTGTCTTTGGAGTCGTCAGTACAGTTCTTTTGCTCCATCCCTCTCATCCATCTTTTATCTTCAACTTTTTTTCTGGAGAATGAAAGCAGTACACTTAATCAATATCACAGATGCTGAATCGCGGGTGTTTTTGGGGGTTTTTTTGTTATTTCTTTTTCCGTTCTTGGCTTCGTGAACCAACGCTGTTGGTTGGTCAAAATCTGTAAAATACCACCTTACAATAAAATGCGGCATGTTCTTACGTATTCCTATGTTTTCTCCACGCATACGGCACTGTAAAATAACATGTCAAGAAAAGAAAATGTTCTTTCCTTTGCATAAATGCAAGAAAAAATGGTAACTCTGGAATGGAATATTGTCCAGCCAACCAAAATGATTAAAACATCAGTTACATTTTTGTTTGTATTATCACTTGCAAGAGAATCTAGCAAATATTTACGGAGATCAACAATTTGATTCTCATACATAAAAACGAATTTTAGAATTTGACATAAAAATAAAACAGCTCTTCGTCATACCAAAGTTGTAAAACACCTCCCCCCCTTTCCACCCTCCATCCTCAGCCCTCTCATAGCCCACGGCAGACATACTAGCTTGGAAGATAAATGTCCAGATAATGTCCCCGAACAAACCTGGAATGAGGTGATATTCATAGGTTAGATAAAAAAACATTGACAAAAGACAGTTGGCAGTGTATACCTCTGGAGATGTGCGCAGTTCTAGACTCATGAAATTCAAATTAGAGCAGAATAATAATATACATTCACAGACAGTAAGATGGAGAAGAATGGTGCAAGGGTCTATAACGTGGAAATTAAGGAAACCAGAAAACATGTTTTTTGTTGGGTTCTGTATATTTGTTTTATTGGCGTCACGGCGGGGTGGAATAAGACGATCGTCAGTTTTTGGGTTTATTTTTTTATTGGTTACATCTTAAAGTCTGTTCATTTGTTTTGCTTTGGTGGAAAAAAAGATCCGTTTATCTTGAACAGAATTCTAGATATCTGCAAACCTAATGAAGGAAGTTGATGTATCCTTATGTCGGAGGGGTAAATGACCATCAAAGTTGATTGTCCTTGAAAGCTGCAAATTTACAACTTTTTGTGCCTACTTGATCCACATTATTCAGTGAAAACAACACATAGATGCGTTTCTAAATGTACATCAACGGTTCTGAGTCAAAGACAAAATTGATAAAAATTGCCCAAAGGGAGAATAAATGTCGGTTATTTCGATTTCATTACTTTGACGAGCGCTTGGTTTCACCACGATGCCACATTTTCTTCCCATCTAAAGTCACTCCACCTTGGTATTCTTTCAGCTTTCGCTGGGTAATCTGAATAAAAGGGCGCTCACCGCCAGCTCCGCAAATATCACACTGGACTACGTGTGCTCGTCCCCAAAATACTTTTTTAATAGGGTATTTTTTACCGTTAGTTGTCGTGCGAGTTTTCTAAGGTTTTCTATCATAGATGGGCGGTAAAACCGATTGACCACATTATTTATTAAATAGTCTTGTCTTTTAAGGGTGAATGACTTAAAACAACGTCTGTTTTCTACGTCCTTAGTTACAACCCACCCCCTAAAAAAAGCCACACACACACACATACACAATAAATAAATAAATAGATAAATAAATAAA